GACGGGTTCTCATAAAATGAGAACCGGTACCGGACCGAACCGGACCGAAGTATAGTTAAATTATTTAAATTTGTACTATTATAGTTTATCTAAAATTTATTAGTTACATTATCCGTCCCAAATTGATTTGCAAAGTCAACATTTTTTTTATCAATGTTAATGTTAAGTCCTCCCTAATGATAATTAATGATCCGTACAATTTTTAATAATTAAAATTTACATATGTAGAAACAACATCAAAATATCTTTAAAGTTGCAAAATCCAAATTAGAATATGCGAAGTATTTTTTTCTGAAAGGCCAAATTAGAATATAATTAAAAAGTGAAATCTTAATTAAATGAATAAAAAACTATTTGACCAAAAAAAGGATGACTTTTGCAAATCATTTTGGAACAGAAGTAGTATGAAATACGAAAATTGTTAAATTGTGTGGATTTTTGGAGGATGCCTAAACTTTAATTTTTCCTTAAACACTTGGAAAAAAGTGGCATTATTTGGCATTGGTATGGCATGGTATCGTCCCGTTTGAAAATGGACCGTACCGAACGGGTTTAGGTTTAAGACCAAACCGAACCGAACCGTTTCAATAGTAACGGTACGAGTACGGGTTCGGCCAAATATTGGACCGGACCGGACCGTGTCCACCCCTAGTGGTACTTGGGAGCGTAAAAAATGACTGTCTTAAGTTGTGCTAATACTCTACCGTTAGTAGCGTTAGTAGAGGTGCCTAGAATGTCAAAAAACACAAGTTATAGATGTGTTTCATCCCCAAAAAAGTTGAAGGTCATATATCCACCCAGAACATAACTTTAGGGTCATTTTTGCCCCTTTTTCCTATACTCTATAGTTTTTTTTAACAAGAGTCAAGTCTTTGAAATCCAAAATATTCCCTTTCCTTTGTGGGGGGCATTCTCTTTGGTTTCGCTTGCTTCGTCACACACTAGTGATAAATCAGAAATCCATAGAATTACTTTTTACATCATCTAACAATGAGATTGTCCGTAGCCAAGAATGCGATTTTACTTGTTTTTTTACTTGAATTAGAGTAATATATATATATATATATATTTTTATGGATTATGAGTTTTTGGAAGTAATTATTTTATAAGAGTATTAATTTTGCTAATGATAAAATTATTTAATTTTCAATTTTGATCTCTCTACTAGTCCAGTCTTTTCTGACCCGGAATCTTTTGATCCGATTCCGATTCCGATTTCGGTCCCATTGGTTTTGGTCCGGTCCAGTTTTGGACCAAGGCTCACTCCGGACCAATGCACAACCTTAAATAATATATCAGCGATCTATCCTTGCAGCATAAAACTTCAGAAAAGACTGCGAAACTGTGACGATCAATATCCCAAAATCATGACCCTCTCTGCTTCACCTTGTCCGAATAACTGTCGCCAATACCACTACATTATGTCAGGATAAGAACTGCGCTCTCCGAGGAAATCCACGACCTGCGTCAGTACGTCATCGGAAGGTTAGTCCGATACAGGGATGGATTTAGGGGGGCGCGGGGGCAACCGCCCCCCTTGAACATTCAATTTTTTTTACCATATATGTAATATTTTCATAAAATTTTCATAATTTAATTAGATTCGCCCCCCTTAGCTTTTAATTTTCAAAATTAATATATATAGTCTTACATAATGTAATACTTAATTGGAGATTTAAAAGAAGAAACATCTAAAATAATTTACATAACTTAAACAAATAAACAATAGAGTAACTCGTTATTTAAGATTTAGGATACTTATTATATAAGAATTCCTAGTTTTGTAATGTTTAATTATCTTTATTAGATAACAAGTATTGGATTTCGTAAAACATATATCAAACAATATTAAATACCAGACACACTAATTGCACAATTTTTAGATCACGTGAAATGAATCCAAAATATAAATATTTATAGACATTAGATTACATAATTCATTTACTTCTTGCTTTCTAAAAATAATTTATTGCATGATAATAAACTCTAAATTATTATAGAATTAATAAAAATATTAAAATATAATATGCACCATATATATATATGTGTGTGTGTGGTGCATATTATTCTAAAAATAACAATCTCATACATATTAGAATACTACTATTGTAATATTAAGAAAACTTCTCATGAGTCATGAGTCATGACTCACGAACACCCTCCTTGGTGGACAAAAATTACAATTCAATAACCGATTCATGAGGTTAAACGATGTAGAAGTTATTAAAAATGTATTGGTTGATGTCTTTGTCATCGCCTAAACTTAGAATGTAATAGATTTAAATGTCGTTCAAGATGTGCGTGAATTAAATCATTTTTTGAATAAAAATAGCCGCACAGCCCTACAGTAGCGAAAAAATTTCGCCCCGCTATACTAGGGAAAAAAAATTCATCCCGCTACACTAACAAACAAAAATTCACTCCCTACAATCTACACTAACGAAAAATTTCGCCCCCTTGACTCAGAATCCTGGATCCGTCCCTGGTACTCCGATACCTTATCAATTGTGATACTGCGAAACTGTGACGAATATTTCATCTTCTTATTTTTTTTACGCAAGGAATAAATGGTGAATTCCCATACGGAAAGATAAGTAAACTTTATACTTAATTCAATTTTTTTTATTTTGTAAAGGATTTAGGAAATAATTGTACTTTGCTCCTTTATTATTTGCTTTCTGAGATTATAGATAATTAAATATTTTCTTAATCCCAGCTCCGGAATAACTTTTTTTTTTGACAGATGTAAGGGGACCTATTTTCCTTTCTTATTTGTTTTCCCCACTTTTCTAAAAAAAACAAGGCTTTGGACCCTCATATGGCCAGTCACCAACTAGGGTGGGTGTTCAGTCAGTCTCCTATCCCTGTTAGTTAGTAACAACTTGGTATGGGATCAAACTCTGTCCACTAACTAGATATAACGATGAATCTATTTTATATTTTAAGGATTTTTGATATAAATATTACTAAAATAAAACATATTTACAAAAATATGACTATTAGATACTACAGTGTAGTGTCATAGTACCTTAATTTTAAAAATTGAACATAAGTTACTATGGTTTCATTACTATAGTCATTAATCACATTTTGTAAACATTCTTCATTTTAGTCATAAATATATGTAATTATTTTATATTTTAATACTCGTATAAAATTATTTCAGAAGTATGACTTAAAACGTTTTTTATTTAAAACATAAAGAACATATAAATGTTCTTTATACTGAACTTGATATTGAATTTTTTTATAATTTAAAGAACCAGTGATACAAAGGAATCGATTTACTAACCTGAAACCTGAAACGCATTGAACTATGCTCTTTAACCTGGGAAGCACTCCATTTGAACTAAATTTACAATTCACTCTGCTAGCTTAACACAAAGAATAGTATTTTAAATTTGTTTAAAAATGACATGTTATCAATTCTTTATTATACATATGCGTTGTTTGAAAATATAAATGTATATATTACCTATACTCATTAACAGCATAAAGCCAAAACAAATTGTTAATCTTTTTTCCTGGGTAACCTCAATCTAACGTCATATGAGAATGTATTGGTCAAACTCATTTTTCCATCATTTGCAATGGAACCAAAGATTCACTATTTTTTGGCTTGAGAATATGATGGAAGTAAGCAAAATGATTCACTTAACTATCTGTGCAATTTTGGACGCGATTTTCACTATGGGTCTCCCTGCTTTATTACAGGGGTAAGATTGCGTACATCCGACCCCCCTTACCCTACAGTAGGTGGGAGCCTTTGTGGCACTTGGGGTAGTGATAATGTTGAATGAATTTCATAAAACATTCCAAAGTTTTACTCCAATACATTGTACTCCATATTAGACATCCACTTTTCTTATGAAATCCTAAAATGTTCCATTTGGCTGGCATCTTTTAAAATTAAAATAATTTTTAGGTGTATAAGTTTAAATATGATGGAACAAACAAAATGGCTCACTAAGCTGTCTGTGCTTCTGAGTGCAATGGAGCCAAAAACTCACTATTTTTTGGCTTGAGAATATGATGGAACAAAACAAAATGGCTCACTAAAATGTCTGAGCCAAAAACTTTGTTATAAAACATCAGTTAGTCAATGAAATTTTTGACGCAATTTTCACTATGGGTCATCCGGAAACAGTCTCAATGAAATTTTGTACGCAATTTTCACTAAGACTGCGTACATCCGACCCCTTCTTACCCCACCGTAGGTGGGAGCCTTTGATGCACTGGGGCAATGATGATGAAGTTTAAATAGTCTATATTTTGATCAAACCTCAATTTTTAAAAGAAATTGGTTTGCTGTGGTTCTATGCCATTTTTCTTCTTAGTGTTTTATGATTTTTTTCCTGAAGTGTGAGACTTTAATCTGTTGTTCAAAAGCAATTTTCTCCTAATCAGATAGGATCATATAGTGGCATTGAACACCACTAATCAAACAGATAATGCCATTTAGCGTTAAAATAATATCTCAAAAGTTATTACTATCACAGTTTGCCAAAAAATAAGGGAGAAATAAAAGTGTTGAGATTAAACTTTCTCTATGACATTTGAATATGTAGATTTGTATCCAATAGGGATTTTTTCAGATAGATTAGTATTATTACATTTAAATAATATGAACATATTAAAAAAAATCATATATTTTCTGCTCATATAGAGAGCATAACTAAAAAAATACTAAAAAACTCAGTAACTTATTACTTTTACCTCTTCATATGCAGGTATTCTGCCTGAGCTGTCTAAGAATTAGGCAGATGACTAGTGAGGAGGGACATGTGTAGAGCTCCTATTTAAAGATAACTTGTCTAGCATAATTCAATATCTTATGGATTTTATGTTAAAATGACTTCTTGTAACTTTCAATATTCTAAATACGGAGTATCTGCCTAATTTCATTTTTAAAACATAGCTTTCATGGGGATAGTTGGGTATAAGCAGTGAATGATGTGTCTGATTAGCATGTTGGCCAAATCGTTTTCTACAGAATCATTAATTGTTTCTACTTTTAATACAAAAAATGAAGAGTGCATGTAGACATGCAAACGAAGCGGTGCATTTGTTTGTTATCTGTTAACTGGGTTTTACGATGAGGGAAAATCCCTCCATGAATTTCTTTGGGAGAATTCCAAACGTTGGAGCATCCAACACCCTAATTTTAAAGCAATCTGCCGGTACATTAATTGATAAATCTATTCGTTAAATCAATTCAACGGATGTCAGGCTTAGCCTTGGACAGACTGCTTGGGTGGGAAATTCCTCCCAAATCAATTTGCTATTATATTATAGTAGATTGTTTTGACGTTTGCTTCCTTTTTACCTGCAGACGTTCTTCTGTCTTACCTGTAGCGGATATAGATTTAATTACGGGTTTTTTATTTATCCTCACAAATTAAAAGAACGAAATTGGATCATGTCAACGAGTTATGATGATAAGCTTGGTAAGAATTTGGTGTCTTTAGTAATATGTTGTAGGTGGAGTTTGGAAAAGTAATAGTCCATAGGACAGTGGGGGTGATTGATTTCATTTTCTTTTTTCTCCATTGGTGTCTTCAGGAATATGGTTGCCGCAGCTTCGGTTGGTTTTTCCCTTAATGGTCCTCACAGGATTGGGACTTCGAATTGGAACTGTTGTTTCTTCATATCTACGCCTGCATAAGAAGGTATTTTTAGCTTTGGTCAGTGTGACAATGTTGCTGTTTTTTTGCTGTTGATTTATGTGTTCTGCAGCAACATTTCATGATTTGGGTCGGTTTTTTATTGTCCACTATAACAAGTTGATTACCATTAGATCTTTTGTTTGCAATTGAGTTGTGTAAAAGGGATATGGGGGGACGTTCCAATCACCTGTTCTTGATTTATAAGTGTTTTTCTATAATGATTTAAGTGTTAAATTAAGTAATTATGGTTTGCTTTTCACTTAGGAGGTGGAGGACCGAATAAGTGCAATGCCAAATGATATTCTGTGCTCCATCCTCTCACGACTGGATACAAAAGATGCAGTTAGGACAAGCATATTGTGTAGTCGGTGGAGTAACCTCTATCATTTTCTGCCTAATTATTCTTTTAGCTGCCCATGTTCGATGGAGTCTGCTAATTCTGCTTTTGTCCAGTGTAGTTGTACTGCTGAGTACAAGAATGAATATCTGAGTGCCATTGATAGGTTTTTTCAAATCCATAGAAGAGCTGGCTCTGAAAAGATCAAATCTTTCAGACTATCATTTTGTGTTAAGAGAGATTTCACATGCCACATTGAGCGCTGGGTGCATCACCTTGTTGGATTGGGTGTGGAAGAGCTTACGCTGAAGTTGTGTTATCAATCCGAACCGATCAATATCTCGCTTCAGAAGCTTGTATGCGAAGCAGCAGCACCTGGGCTCACATTTCTGCATCTGGCTTCAAGCAATCTGGAACCCCTCAATCCCCAACAACCTTTAAAATATCTAAAATCCATAAAGTTGGATTTTATTGATTCAGTAGACGTGGAGAGCATATTGTCATCATGCCCGAAACTCGAGTCTCTATGGTTGGAGTATTGCTTTCTTCCTTCTAAGGTGTTCGTTGGCGGAGGAAAACATTTGGAGTTGAAGTCATTAACCATTATCAACTGTTATGGGAAGGAGTTGGAGGAGATATATTTGTGTGCTGAAAACCTTCGAACCTTGAAACTTGGTTTAGAGAGTGACCTAGCATTGAAGTTTTCTCACCCTTCCCATGTCCCCAAGCTCCAGCATGTCAGCTTGAACGTAGCATACAGTGGTGATTTGCTTCACATCATTAGCTGGGTAGCAAAGGATTGTTCTCAAGTTGAATCTTTTTGTCTTGATTTGTGGTTGGGCACAAGCCATGTGGCATATGGTTTGCCGCGTAAGGTGCCCACATTTAGCCGTTTGAGGCAGCTTGACATACTATTGGAGTTCAATGACTTGTTTTATGTGACCCAGATTGCTGATTTAATCATTCACTGTCCACTGCTTCAGATATTGCATTTGGTGGTGAGTTCCCTTCCCCTTCTTTAGCGAGGAGTGGTTATTCTTTCTTAATTAATGGTTTGTTTGGTTTGAGGTGAACATAGGTAACATAATTGCATTCACCTTTATTGGGAACTTGATTGATATTGTTATACACTCAAGTCAAGGAGGTCAGCTATTTATTTTTATTTCAATAAAACCAACTTTTGTGATGATAAAAGAAAGAGAAACAAAAGGGGAGGGATCAAACACAGAATGTTATTTGTGCACTGTCCTTGGGAAAATAAGCTGTAACCATTTTAGCATAACACGACTTCTCTCTCGAGAGAGAGGAGCTGGGTCAAACTCAAACTCAAACTCGTTAAACAATAACTCATGACTTGCGAGCCATTACATATATTTATATATAAACAAATACACACACGCACACATACTTCCTCTGTTCATTTCTTAGTTGCAACCTTTCCATTCTCATGTTTTCCAACACACAATTTTGACAATTGATATATTTCATTCTTTATGAGTAAAAATATTTTAAAAGTCAAATTTAGAAAATATAAAATGAGCGGAATTTAACGGTTTTTTAAAAAAAATTAAAATTTTAGTACATTAAAAAATAAAATGCAGTCAAATTTGAGTATGTAAATAGTGTAAAATTCAACCCTATATATATATATACATATATATATATATATATATGTATATATATATATATATACACACACACAGAAAAGATCAGGTCCATCTGGAGGGACGGGAGGCGCCGTCCGGCCAAGGCCATCAGAGGCTCTCCCTGGTGGAATTTTTTGATGAAATTTTTTTAGCATGTTCCTCATCAAGTCTAGTTTATCCATACCAAATTTCAGCTAAAAATTCACCCGGGAAGGCACTCAAATGATTTTTGGAAGATAACTGCGTTTTATATGTATATAAACTGCGCAGTTAACTTCCAAAAATCATTTGACTGCCTTCCCGATTGAATTTTTAGCTAAAATTTGGTACGGATAAACTAGACTTCATGAAGAACATGCTCAAAAAATTTCAGCAAAAAATTCCACCGGGAAGGGCCCCAAATGGCGACATCCGGGCGGCGGGTTCTGTCCCCCCGGCTGGACAGGATCAGGCCTCTCTCTCTCTCTCTCTATATATATATATATATATATATATACACACACATATGGAACAGAGGTAGTAGGGTGAGGTTAAAATAAGAGCCTTTAGGCGAGAAATGAGAATAAATCTCAGTCGTTGGATTTGATTATGTTGTAGTAAAAGAGTTCCAGTTTGCACTGAAAAATGCAACCATGCACGGTGACGTTTTCGTAAATATTTTTGAAAAATCTATGTTACACCTATGTAGTGTAACATGAAACTATTTTAATGCATCATCGTCAAATCCAAGTGCAACATGAAACTATTGTAGTGCAACATGACAAAATTTATGTTCTACTGTAACATGAAACCGTTTTCAGTGCAACATTGTAAATCCTATTTTTATAGGAAAAATTGAAAATAATAATCCCAATTATTGCCGGTCCGCTGAAATTAATCTCAACTGTTGATTATTTTTTGTATAATTCCAACTATATGGACCATCCGCCAATAATGGTTCATGACCAGATATTACCTCATAACAATTAACAAGTGAATTTTAAATAGAAATTAAGCGTAAAACTTAAAAGTTGGGATTATTTATAGGGATACTTGTTATATCTCTTCTCATCCACTTTAGAAAGTACATGAATTTATTTGCAGGGACCATTATTGGCGGAAGGTCCCTAAAGTTAGGATATTTTGAAATAATCGATAGTTAGGATTATTATGAGCGGACCGCCAATAGTTATGATTATTACTATCAATTTTTCCTTTTTTATATTCTTTCTCCTTTCTCACATTAGGCGCATTTCTCACTTAAACCAAAATCTATGTGTGTGCATGAGTATATGTATGTATCCACATTCATATTATATACTTATTTATATTTATGTCTCTATACATACATATATTAAATTTTTAGAATTTTTTTAACCTTAAATAGGACTAAATTAGTGTGTAAATTCCCAAATAGTAGTAGATATATTTTTATTCCCAAATAGGACTACTATTCCGCTTTTACCCCTCCTACTCATGAGACGCCCAGGAGACGGCCTCTCTTTTCCACGCACGCATTATTGGCAGATCAATTTGTTTCTTTTCTTTTTAGATTAGACTCTGTCCACCACTATTCTCCAATATGCTTTTTAAATTAGAGTCTGCGCACCAGCTATCTTCTCCAATATTGAGCTGCTTCAACGAGATTCTGGAAGCTGCGAGCAACTGTAGCACCATCGGTTAGCAACAAGCAAGAGATGTGAGCAGGCGCGAGCAAGGAGTAGCAAATCCGATCAGATCTGTTGCCGGAGTAATGAAGCTCGTTGTTCTCCCCCCTCCTTCCTCCTCCTCCTTTATTGTTTCTCTCTTCTCGTCTTCTGTAGTTGTCGCAGGCCCGATGTTTGGCCATTTTCTTCTTTAGTTGTTAAAATTGCCAAATTTACTATGCTCTAATGGCATTTTTATTCTTCTAAAAAAATCTGTGCTTCCCTTTGAAAATGCCATTAAAATGGCATTTTAGATTCATGGGGCAGCAGTTCGTGGCATTTTAGATCTACTCCTCCGCTCCAGATCTGCAACGACGGTCAATTTTGAGGCCGCGGCGGTGGCCGGCGAATGGTGGTTGCCGGCGAGTGGCAGCAATCCAGCATTGTGTCCGGCAACATGTTACCAAGCTTCAAGGGTATCGATGTCCAAATACAAATAATAACTCCTATTTAGGGAATTCTCAAATTTTAGTCCTATTTTGACAATTAAGAATTTATTTACTCCCATTAGGGAATTCTCCCTAAATTTTAATTGATTGATAATAAAATAAGGAGTAAAAACTGTAGTGAGTTAGAGAGACGCTAATGAAAAATGAGAACTCAAAAGTACAAATGTTATACTACGTATAATATTTATTTATTTACTTATTTGTATGTATAAAGATAATATGTGTAATTTTAAAAATAGATTTTTTAGCTTAAGGGAGTGTTTGCAACAGCTTCTGCTTAAAAAAAAGCACTTTTGGAGTGATTTGGAAAAAGTGATTATTTGTAAAAGTTGATAGTGTTTGAGAAAAAAGTGATTTTGAAAAGTAAAAGTTGGTAGTGTTTGGTAAAATAAGTGCTTTTGGTGTATAAAAAGTGGAAAAGCACTTTTGACACGAAAGCCGAGAAAAATAAAAAATTGGTAGTGTTTGGTAAATAAGTGCTTTTTTAAGCCAAAAGCTGAGAAGTGCTTTTTTTAAAGTGGTTGCAAACCAGCCTTAATTCGAGCTCGAACATATGAAACTTGATGATAAATACTCTAGCCAAGCTCGATTCGAACTCATGCCGATCACGAAATAAGCTCAGGGAGAAATTATTAGTCTCTTTCAAGCTCAAGCCAGTGGATTCTAATCAAGCTCAAGCCTGAGCATGCCCAAGTTCAAGCTGAACTCAACTCAGATCATTCACGCTCCTTGTTTTGCACATGAGAACTCCTTGGAAAATGACTTCCATCTTTTGAGAAGCGGAAGTCATTTTTATGAAATATTTCTTTATTTTACCTATTTTTTTCTTTGAATTTGTGGGTTAAACAATATATTTATTTATACACACAATCAGTATAAAATCTTATTTACGAGGAAAATATTTGTTGGTTTTTCTTTTCTACAAGCGAACAGAACCAGAGTATACTCAAAATATGACGTTGATCTTCTAACTATTTCATTGTGGGTAACGATGATAAGTTTCCATGTGTACAGCGAAGGGAGATAACACCACACAGACCACATGGTGCAAGGAGTCTATCTCCCAGAAGTCATCCTCATCTTCATCTAAAAGAAGTAGAACTTGGTGGGTTCTATGGTTTTGAGGATGAGATTTCTTTGGTATTGTATATCCTGAAAAGTGCTTTGGCTCTCGAGAGGATGGTTTTAAGAAGGAATTCTAGCTGTACTACAAAATTTAATAAGAACAAAGGTTATACGGAGATTAGTTGGTTGCGAGAATCGAGGCTTTCAAAGTTTGATAAGAGCAAATCACAAGTTTTACATCAACAATTGCGAGGGCATGCCACTTCTCCAACAGTGCAATTAGTCATCATTTAAAGGGATGTTTGGATCCGATTCCTGAAACTGCTTATGCTCCTTCAGGGAGCAAAAGCATAAGTTGAAATGTTTGGATGAAAGTGTAGAAGTACCTCTGGTGATCTAATTTACTCCTAGAATCAGTTTTTTAGAATCTGGGGAAAGAGACCAGCTTCTGAAAACTGATTCTGATTCTGCTATTACTTTAAAAAAGAAGCAGAAGCATAATCGGTTGCAAACACACCCAAGTTGTCCTCTTTTGTGTTTGATTTTTCTGTTTTTACTTGTTTAGTTTAACTGGTATGGTTTAGTATGAGTTATTATGAGCTTCTTTTTTAATAATATGGTTTAATACATTATTCTAATTGTAGAACTAGTACATTATTTATATTGTAGAATTTGTACATTATTTATGCATGTTTTCATTCTTCTTTAAATTAGTGCGCACCAATGTGAAATGAAAACCAGAAATATGGAGTAAGAATCCTAAGTAAACAAGTTACTACATGATCAATTTCTTGCATTTTTATACCTAGCGTGCAGAATGCATCTGTTAACAAATACGGAGTAATATTAATTCACATTTGCTATAAGCCATATACATGCCCTCATCATACTTTAGCTAATTCCAAAGAATGGTTTATATATCATCAATTCTAACGCATAGTGCCTGATACGTTTTATTGGTAGCTTATATGCCGTGGGAGAGTTATAATTGTGGGGATGTAGTGCTCATTAGCGAACGCTTGGTAACTGAAGAGATTTATACTTTGCACATAAGGATGTTTTAATATATTTTTCTTCAATGATATATTAGTAGCAAGTGAAATGAAAACCAGAAAGTTCATTTAAACTAACACCAGCGTATTGCTGTCATTCATAACCTTTTGTTTTGAAAGAAGACACTTTCAAGTGTCTGCTTGCCCGTTAGAATATAGAAATTTAGTTGCATAAGAAATTGCTTTGGTCTAAATAAACCATAAAATATTGTTTTTTGAGTTCAAGCCCCTTTGGCATCATCATTTATGGACACTGTTTAATTAATCTCTAATCTAATTTAAATAAATAAATAAAAAATATATGTATGTGTGTGTCTTAGCGATTGTTAATAAGTTGATATATGGGAAAGTTCCCGAAATGGGACTAAAAAAGTTCGAAAATTTCAAAATAGGACTGTCATGTTTTTATTCCTAAAATAAAATTAATTACTGCCAAATTTGGAAAATACTGCCATTTTGAAGTCTGGTACTGCCAAAACATGGCAGTAATTAGTCCTATTTTGGGAATAAAAATATGAAAGTCTTATTTTGGAATTTTCAAACTTTTTTAGTCCCATTTTGGGTAATATCTCTTTATATATTCATTAAAGCAAAGCTGATTCTCCAGCCCAAGGATTAACTAATTATCCTGTGTGTAGGACAGATATGAATGATGCAACCACTCCTGTGGTGAAAAGATTAATGGAAGCATTAGGCATAGTTCTTGTGTTCAGTATTACATTACAGCGTGTAAAATGGAAGCAGTTCAAAATTAGATGCCATGAGTTAGTAGTCATTCATGATAAGAAAAATGTGTACACAAAATGTGTACACATTTTGTGTACCTCTAGCAATGCACTCTTTTTCCTAACTTTTACATTCATCATGTTTCATTTGCTACTCTTTAGAATGTTTATAATGACTTTCTATTACTTTCAGGTACTTGCTCAATCTATATGGTTTGGGGGTTGGGGGGTCTCATTCTTGGACAAGAAAATGGTTAGTTTAGTCCGGAATTCCAATCTTTGTTTTAAGAAAATATGTCATGAAAAAACATTTTGTATCAAACTATCAATGATTGGCCAGAATGTTAGATTTACTGCTTTTTCTTTAATGGTGTGATTATTAATATGAGAACCTCTTTTAGCTATGGATGATATCCAGTGTGCGAGCAAATTAAATAAATGTATTTCGTTTTGAGCTCTAAATGGCTGGTTCTTGTTTTGGAAAACTTTTAGGCTTTTAGCTTGTAAAAAAAATAATAAGAAACATGCTCTTTAGATTTCTTACTGTAACAAATTCACACACCATTTTAAATAAAGCATAAGTTAATGAAAAACATTTATGAAAGGCTGCACTTCTGGAACCCCCATCATCCACTTTTGAGTCATCCTCGTCCATGGTCAACGCCCGAATCTGAAGTCCGTGAACATTCTTGAGTCATCCTTGTCTGTGGTCAATGACAGGATCCGGAGCCCCCAAACGGTCTTGAGTCATCCTCGTCCACGATCGACGGTCGTGATGCTCGTTTTCCGGCCTTTCGGCCGTGATGGTCTCCTTGAGGCCCTCGACCTCCTGGTGGGAGATACTCGTCTCACGGATCTTGGTCGTGATGATCTCCTCTCCATGTGTCATGGTACATACATACTTGTAGTCCCTCCTTTTTCAATCGACCATAAACGTCTTTGCGCTTCATGATCTCCCTGTTCGAGCTGATCGAACGGCTCTGAATGTGGTGATTCCTTCTTGCCGGTCATGAATGTCTTTGCACTTCATGCCGAATATCATGGATCTCCCAGCTCGAGCATACCGAACAACTCTGAATGATTGTGATTTCTTTTTGCCAGTCATGAATGTCTCTGTGCTTCATCCCGTACGACATGAACGTCTCTGTGCTCCATGATCTCCCCGTTCGAGCTGACCGAACGGTTCTGAATGAATGTGATTCTTTTCCTATTTCCAGTCATGAACGTCTACGCGCTTCATGCCGAATCGTCATGAACATCTCTGTGCTTCATGATCTCCCCGTTTGGGAATATCGAACGAATTTCATTGCACAATCAGCATGGTAATACGGCCGCACGGCCGAACAACATATACAAGTATATACAATTACACATGTACATCATTTTCCCTTTATTTTCATTCATGTCTACCGGCCGAAGCGGTAACAATAACCCTCGGCCTAGACTTATTTTTCAAACTGCAATAGTCCACGACCAGAACCACCTAGTGGTTTGCCGGGCGTTCTCAGAAAAGTTTTAACTAATCAAAGTACGTACTCCGCCCCGTACTGGGTACAGTTGTCGATCCGGCACTCAATGCCCAACGGGACCACGAATGGTCTAGATTAAAATACGTCATCGGGCAACGCCCCTGTGAGACGCTTTAGTCAATTAATTTCGGCCGATCGAGCAACGGAAAAAGGAGGAAGAAACAAGAGCCCGGCTTGAAGCGATGGAACGACAAATGAATTTCTTCAGCGTCGGATTTCAGCCACAGCCTCATTCTCAGCCGTATATAATGCACCCTGAGACAACTCCTCAAGTTCCGGAGATGGGTATTATGGGTTATTATCATTCCAACTCCGGGTTTAGCAATATTCTTTCATTCGGATCTTTTCAGGATCTGTCTTTCAACCAGTTTCAGACACCCGGAGGCAGCTGAGGATCCAGTCGAGGCAGCCGACGCCCGACGAGGCACCCAAGGAGGCACCTGACACGAAGAGCCTACTAGGACACTTAATTGTGATATGGAAGGAGTAATAACCTATGATTAAATACATCAAAATGAGGTATGGAAGTAGAGAATAAATTAGAGCACATGAAGATATTATCATGAGATGCACAATATCAGGGTATAATTTTATTTAGGGAAAACTGTCAAATAGGTCCTCGAACTTTCATAAAAAGTTCAATTAAGTCCTTCTATAGGAGCTCTGTCCGGCCTTCGCGATTTGGGGCAGTTCCCGGTGGAATTTTTTGATGAAATTTTTTTAGCATCTTATTAACCAAGTCTAGTTTACTCATACCAAATTTCAGCTAAAAATTCAATCGGGAACACATTCAAATTAATTCTTGAAGATAACTGCGCATTTTTGAGTTCTCGAATTGATTTGAATGCGCTCCCGATTAAATTTTTAGCTGAAATTTGGTATGAGTAAACTAGGCTTGATGAATAAGATGCTAAAAAAAATTCATCAAAAAATTCCACCGGGAACCGCCCCAAATCGCGACGACCGGACAAAGTCTCCTATAGAAGGACTTAATTGACTTTTTTATGAAAGTTCGAGGACCTATTTGACAGTTTTCCCTTTTATTTAGAATGCATTCTGACAAGTAAAACTTAAACACTGATTGCTTGATTTGATAAGAATTACTACGTAAGAAACATTGAGTAGTATTTTTTAGATAGATGACTTAACAATAAGGGAGTGTTTGGTTCAAGGTGATATCTTATATAGGGCGGAATCTCATGCTCGGAATGTGATATACCTATGTTTGGTTCGCAAGTTTGAATTTTCTTTTGGGAATGTTACATTCCCAAAAGTGGAAAAGGTGATCACATTATCAGGCATGCCAAACCCACCAATGCCTTAGGTTTTGTAAGATTCCTGGTGGCTTATTATTAATTTTCTTCCAAAAAAACCCATGTTTCATTAATCGACATATCTAGGGGTGGATCGGGCCCGGTCCGGTTCCGGGTCAGGTCCGGCCGGGCTTGGCTTTTTGGGAATGAAGCCCGAGGCCGGACCGACTGTTGACAAGTACCGGTTCAAGCCGGTCTACCCGCCCGGGTAGCTGGCCGGCCGGGTATGTTTTTTTAATTCATGTTTAAAAATTAATTCAAGAAGTGCTACATATGAAAAACTTAAAGTATATTTATTTGAAACATGAACTGCAATTGAGAATTGAGAAAAAAATTAAAACATGAAATACATTTTCTAATAAATAATAATCAATCGGAATCTCCGCCACCGTCGGTTGTTGTTTCCTCCATAAAGTGTTGGGTGGGGGTAAAGCTAAGTTCTTGAGTTCTACGTTGGGCCTTCAACCAATCGTGGTAGCAAACAAGCGTCTCAAGAGAGTTTGCGCTCAATCTCGTTCTATAATCTGTTAACACATTGCCGGCCGCACTAAATTCTTGTTCTATGCCAACTGTTGAAACCAGCATTGATAGAACTTGATTAGCCATCTCTGATAAAACCGGGACCGTTCTTTCTTTATCCTTCCACCACTTTAGAATGTCAAAGTCATCATCTTCTTCATAATCAACAGGAAATGTTAGATATATAGAAAGGTCGTTAACTGAGCTTTGTTCAATAACAAGAGTTGATTTACTTTTTTTCATAAGATTGCCAAATGTAAATTTCAAAAATAATTTTCCTTTAGATGAAGATGTTTGTGTCTGGGGAGGGGGTGCGTTACCATAGTGTGCATGAAACTCATTAAATAATTGATAAGTTTAATGTGTTAAGAGGCAAATATTTAAAGGACATTCAAGTAATTCACCAAATATGCAATATAAGATATCATTCAACCAAATAACTTAATGTGGCATTCCCTTAATCATAACCAAACACAAATGAGCTATACATTAATCGCATTCCCAGTAATCTAACATTTCCATGGTAATCTGATATTCCTTGAACCAAACATACC